CAACATGACAGGCCTCAGAAAACACAACTGTCAATGTGACAAGACAGTTGGAAATCAGCTGCCAGGCTGTGATACTGCCCAGACCCTCTTGTGCTCTCTGGCAGCATTTCCAGCCATGGTCACAGGCTCAGGTGACAGAAAGGAGACCTTATCAATGTATACAAGTATCTCCAACTTTTAGACTCCTCAGTCCCACTGGAGTTGTCCCATGTGTTTTGGCTCTTCCTCTGTAGACATTTTCCCTGTGTATCATCAGTAGCCTGGTATGAACTTAGCTGCAGATCTCTTTTTCTAGGCCTTTCCTCCTCAGTTCTCAGTCACACTCTGGTATCTCTTCTCATGCTTAAATTGCCACAGCTGCTTACAGACATAGTCTCTCAGAAACCATCTGATCTCCCCTGAGCCCCTCCTGGCACCCCCTCACACCACCCTTGCCACCCAGACACGTCTTGCTCTTCAGCATCACCCGTGGAAAATCACACTGGTCACACTTGGTGATGCCATGAGGAGCCACAAGCTGAACTCAGCACCCTTTTGCCCCTAAAACAGGGGATGCTCCCTCAGGGGGAGGGAGAACTCTTTAAAAAAAAGATCAACTTTGTAATTTCTAACTCTTGCATGGCTTCAGGGTCTTGTCCATCACAATATTCGGGTTAAGAAGGGACCTGCCCTTCCCTGATGTGCATCAGCATCGTTTTACAAGCCCTTCCCCGGGCCCTGGGGCTGGCAGCAGCCAGCACACCCCATGCAGCAGGTGCTTCCTGGCACACGGGCCTTTGCCCAGCTCTCCCAGGACTCAGGCTGGCCGGGCTGGCACTGCCAAAGGTTTGTCTCCTGTGAAGCAGGTTTGGGATAATCTTCAGGATATGCAGCTTCATAGAAGGTCTGAGATGTCAGATGTTAGGGAAAGGTGTGATATTTTCCTGAGCATTGACATACTCAGGTGGAAAGGACTGGGCACACTGCAGCGGCACCTCCCTGTTGTGATGCATCTGGTGTTCTCTGTCCCAAAAGGTCCAGGTGATGAGTTGGTGACACCCAAGCCGCCTGTGATCAAGGGGACCCCCTGTTTTGGCTGCAAGCATGGAGGAAAAGCAGGGCTGGGGCTCCTCGTTGCTGCCTCCCCATCCAGCAACATGACAGGCCTCAGAAAACACAACTGTCAATGTGACAAGACAGTTGGAAATCAGCTGCCAGGCTGTGATACTGCCCAGACCCTCTTGTGCTCTCTGGCAGCATTTCCAGCCATGGTCACAGGCTCAGGTGACAGAAAGGAGACCTTATCAATGTATACAAGTATCTAAAGGGTGGGTGCAAGAAAGATGGAGACAGACTCTCCTCAGTAATGCCCAGTAGCAGAACCAGGGGCAAGAAGCACAAGCTGGAACACAGGAAGTTCCATTTAAACATAAGAAAAAACTTACAATGAGGGTGACAAGGCACTGGGACAGGCTGCCCAGGGAGCTGTGGAGTCTCCATCTCTGGAGATATTCAAGACCCACCTGGATATAGTCCTGGGTAAAGAGCTCTAGGTGATCCTGCTTCAGTAGGAGAGTTGGACTAGATGATCTGGAGAGGTCCCTTCCAACTCCAGCAGTTCTGTGATTCTGTGAGAGATCCTGGCTGCCCACACAGGGCCACCAGCAGCGTGGGGAGGCCAGGTCACCCAGGGGCAGTGGGAGGCAAAAGCTGCTGCCCTGTGCACTGCTGCAGGGTGCCATCCTCACAGCAGGGCAGGGCAGCTGTGACAGCCCCATGACAGTCTGCCCACGTCTGGGGTGCCCACATCTGGGGTGCCCATACCTGGGGTGCCCATACTTGGGGTGCCCACAGGTGGCCAAAACCCCCCACATGCTGAGCAACCCCAGTGAGCCTCAGGAGAAGCTGCCTCAGCCCCTAACTTAGAGTCAGGCACAGAGGAGCCCAGGAACAGAAACCTGTCCTGAGGCAACAGCACAGGCAGAGCTGTCTGTTCTCCCAAGGGACACCACTGGATGACCACAGCTCCCAAAAGCTCCTTGTGGCTCCTGGGAGTCCACACACAGCCCCAGTGCAGCTCTTTTGGCAAAGGTGCCTTCCTGCCCCAGTGCTCTCTGGGGAGCAGCCCCAGGGCAATGGGCTGTGGGGGGCTCAGCTGCTCCCTCCCCCTTATCTCCACGGTGCCCACATAGGCTCCACTCCCTGCAGCCCACTCGGTCCCTCCAGTGCTCCCTCTCTCCCTACTCCTCCTTTCCCCTCACTCCCCCAAGTGCCCAGCAGGTTCTGCTCCCCCAGGCCACCCTCCCCTGGGTGCTGCCAGAGCTACCAGGCAGGGGCTCTGGGGGCTGAACAAGGAAGCACTGGTCACTGCCTGGGGGCAGGGGTCAGCAGGGGCTGGAGGGGGCTGGTCAGCCCCAGCATGGCCTGGATCTCCCCCAGAAAGTTGCACTGTTCCCCCTGCAAGGGGAATGGCAGGACATGGACACTGTAACCCATCCCTGCACAGCCTGGAGCAGCTCCAGGGTCTCCAGCAGAGCCTGTCCCTGGTCCCACTGCCCAGGCCCCCACCTGACACCCACTCAGTATGGAATGGCCCAGGGCATGGGCACAGCAGGATGAGGGAAACAGTCCTGCCCGGGGCCCTGGGGGATGGGGCACATTGCTGGGCACCCATATCTATGGGCACCCATCCCTAGGGATGCTGGACCCCCATGGGCACCCAAATTCACAAACACTCAAACCCATGACCACCTAAACCTATGAAAAACCAAAACGATGAACACCCGAGATCATGGGCATCCGTTCCTAGGGAATGGTAACTCCCATGGGCACCCAAATCCATGGGCACCCATCCCTAGCAATGCACCCAAACCCACAAACACCCATCACAGCCACTGTCATCATCTTCGCTGCAGTGTCTGCAAGTTTTATTCCATCAGACTCTGGTTCCTTCAGGAACAACCAGGCAGCTGTCAAAAAATGGGAGACAAGCCCCAAGACCCCTCATCTCGTGTTTCTCTGCCTGAGGTAGCTGAGGTTTACAAAAGGAGAGTTCCTTCAACACTCCAGGGTGTTTTTAAATAGAATTTACCTTGCTGAGACTTGTTTTCCCCACAATAAACCGTGCATTTGTAAATTCTAATTGGGGATTGGCTGCTGTTATTGGAAATAGTACTGAGCAAGTTACTCACTCAAAAAGTCAGTGCCGAAGTGACTGCTCCTCTGTGAGAGGCGAGCGCCACGTGCGGACCTCTCGGCAGATCCTGACAAGCTAAATACACTCCAAAAAGGAGATATAATAGGTCGCAGATCGCAACACCAACCCCAACCACTCAATGGGGCTGTGAATATGATGTGGTGCCCCTGAACCCTTCCACTGCCACAGTCACACTTGTGCAGTGTGTGTCACTGGGAGTGCCACGTTTCAGGCATGAGGCTGGGTTTGTTCTCCTGAGCTGATAACCAAGAGACACCCGAGTTGCTGGAAGCTCCTTTGGAGAGAGGTGGTGGCTGAAGGGCTGCAGGAAGGCCCGGGGAGAGGGAGGTGAGAGTGGTGGCCGTGACTTCAACTGTCCCTGTGCAGCAGCAGTGAGCAGCAGAGGGAGCAAGGGGGAGCTTTGCTGGAGGGCTGGGGCTTGTTTTTGCATTCTGTGGGGATACAAGACTGATCTGTGCACTTCCTTGAAGTGTTACTTAGTCTTGTTATCTTATGTGGAAGGAGAAGACAGGCTGTTCTCCACAGCTGCATTTAGGTCGTTTGTTTTACATGATGACTGAGCAACTCTGAGTCTCACCAACAAAAGCAATCTCCTGGCAGTCATTCTCAAAGCAGGGTTAGAATTTGTTTGCTTTGTTCAGTGTCATATTCCTCGTTTTCCAAAGTTCTTGGCAGTTCTTGGCCCTTAGGAAGGGATGTGAAGGACACGTGTGGCGAGTGGCTTTGTGCTCCCTCTGGGCGCAGTAACGAGGAGATAACCCAGGTTTATTAACACAGTGGCTGGACATGAGGAATTCCCTGGTAGTTCATGGCTCTGAGGGAACTGGGTGTCTATGGGATGTAATTCAAAGAGCAGAATCTCTTTGGTATAGATGCATTCCAGGCCAATCCGTTCTTTCCAACAGGCTCAGGAAGAAACTCCACATCCCAGCAGGTGCCCGGGTGCCCAGAGGAGAACAAGGACATGGCCAGGCAGCGCCCAGGAGAACAAGCACTGCAGACCTGCCTGTTCTCAACTTTCTGACAGGGAGATCCTTCCTGACTTCTGACAGCAGCAAGTCCATAGCATCATGGAATCACAGACTCATTTTGGCTGAATCAGACCTGTAAGATCATCAAGTGCAACCATTAACCCAGCACCTGCCAAGCCCCCACCAAACTGCCCCAGGTACCACATCGACACGTCTGTTAAATCCCCCAAGGGACAGTGTCTCAAACACAGAATTTCTTCTTCTCATCATCTGATAATGCAGCTGGTTTTGAGCAGGACATCTTTCATGAGAGATGTCTTGCAGCTTAAACCAAAAAGCTGCCCTGATAAGGGAACGAGAACTATTTTAATGAAGTGGATGTGATCCTTTGCTTGCAGCTCCTCTTCAGAATCCAAGAACCATCCAGGATGGGCTGCTGGGCCTCACAACAGCAACTTGTTGGCTCAGCGTGGGGTGAGAAGCTCCAAAAGGAAAGACAAGACCTGTTACCATCATCACTTATAGCTGGTGTGACCCATTTCCATTTATGTTTGATTTCCTTCCATGAAAACCTGTTGTTTGTAGGTGGGCTTGTGCTGCCACAGAACATGGTCTGGCTCCTTGTTCATTGGCTCCATGGGAGCAGGTCAGTGAATAATCACCATCAGCTGGAGCACTTGACATGCAGGCAGCACTTTGCTGCCTTCACAATTTCTGTGATGACAATGAGCATGACAACTGAGATCCCAAAGTAGAATTCAGTGACCCAATCTTGTCAAAGAAAAGCAAGTGTGTTGTCATTTTGTGTTGCCTTGCCACCTTGAGGATCTCACCTGAAAATCCGCCCCATGCCAAGTTTCCTCCTGTAACACACACTGTGCCCTGTGAATTTCCAGGGACTGAACCTGAGGTGGCTCCTTACAACCCTTTGTGGCCTGGCCTGGGCCTGGGCCTGGACCTGGACCTGGATGCCTGAGCATCTCCCTGCCGACTGAATTTCCTGCTCTGTGCACTTGGGTTTCTGGATGGCCTAGATGATCCCGACGAGTCCTCCAAGGAGCAGATCCAGCAGCATGGAGGAAGACCACTGGGGTCACCCCATCTGTCAGGCTGGAGACGTCCTCTGTGCAGGATGCACAGCATTTTATTAGTAACTTTTCAGATAGAGTAAGTTCTTCTAGCATAAGATGGGGGTGGGCTTTGCAAGCCTTTTCATTCTGTCTGGACTTTCTGTCTCTGGGGGTGGGGATTGTTATTCTTTTTCTGTACATTTCTTCTTTCTTTCCCTCCATTTGCCCCAAAAAACAGTACATGAAGTTAATGGACTGGAGTGAGATCCCTTAAATGTGCCCTGATAAGAGTTGTCCCATCACATCTCTCCAGCTGCAGAGTTTCCATTAACGAGGCCCAGTCGAGACAAATCCAGTCGTTCCGTTTGTTGGTTCCATTCTTGTGTGTTGGCTTCTCTGTTCAACACCTGAGGGACTCCACAGCTTGTGTGACTGAGAGTTCTTTTCTTTCTAGATGAGGTTGTTGCTACTTTGGGTGAGGGGACTTTTGGACAAGTTGTGGAATGCACTGAGCACAAGGAGCAAGTCTTTCTCCGCAGCCACAGGCCCTTGCTCTGGCTGATGCTCCCACCGCGCGGCTCGGGAAGCGCTTTCTGATGGCATCGGGTTCATCTTCACGTGGAGACCTTTTCTGATAAGGTTCCCACTGGTACCAGCAGTGTGGGGGATGGTAACTCCTCCAGATTCTTAGGTAAAACTCCTCCTTATTCTAAGCCCAGTGAAAAACCTGTCTTTCCAGGAGAGGCAGACACGTGGCTGTGAAAATAGTGAAAGAGGCTGATGGGGGCTGCGGGGCAGCCCTTGCACAATTACAAGCCCTGCACTATTCACATGCCCTGGACCCCAGCAGCACTGAGTGAGGACACAAAGCCACCTTCCTGGGCTCTGGCTTTCAGGTTCCTGTGAGGTGGTTTTAGGAGCACACGCCGTGTGGAGTGACACAACTGCCTGCTGCAGCTCCTGAGTTCTCTGCTCCTGCAGCCGCTGTGTCCAGATGCTCGACTGGTTCGAGCGCCGTGGCCACGTCTGCTCTGTTGTGGAGCTGCTGGGGCTCAGCACCTTGGACTTTATCAAAGAGAATGGCTTCCTGGCCTTCAGGCTGGGCCACATCAGACAGATGGCCTATCAGATCTGCAAGGCTGTGAACTGTATCTTTCCTTGCTGCTTGGTTTGTGTCATCTTCTCTCTGGCATTTGCTAACAAGTGTTGGTATCTTGCAGTTTTGCACATCAACAAGTTGACACACACAGACCTGAAGCCAGAAAACCTTTTACTGGTGCCATCTGACTACGCAGTGGAGCACAGCCCCAGCCTGGGAAGTTGCTGCCCTCTTCCCCACCTCCCCTCAGCCATCCTCTGGCTTTTTTTGGGCACTGCATCCCATTGCTTCATTGCAGGAGTGTGAGGAGCACAGACCCAAACGTCCAGACGTCAAGGTTGGGGACTTTGGGAGCACCACACATGATCATGAACATCACAGCATGGTGGTGACCACAAGACCCTACAGAGCTCCTGAGGCCTAGGCCAGTAGGACTCTTGGACACAGCTTTGGCCCAAGATTCCTGGTGGCTATTGAAGGGTGATGCAGAAGCCTGGCACATCTTCCTTGAGCTGTTGACCTGTTTGCAGCCTGGTATAAACGTGACCCTTCTGGGTCTTTTCACAGCCCTGGGATGGTCACAGCCCTGTGATGTCTGGAGAATAGGATGTATTCTCCTGGAGTACTGCCTTGGATCCCCAGGCTTTCTGGTAGGCAACTGGGAACCAGCCAGCCTGGCATGAAGGGTGACCCTGTTCACATTTGTAATTTACAAGCCACACTAGTAACAGATGGAGCTTCGTCTGTCAGCAGCAGCAAATACTGCTCAACTACCCAAACTCTGTCAACTTGACAGCACTGCTGAAACTTGACACTTATGAACCAGGAACAAAAAAAATATATAAGGCCTGGTCAAGGGAAAAAACCTCCAGTAGATTGTATCTTATTCCAGGAAAGAGATGACTGCAGCCTCTCCTTTTTGCTTCATCTGAAATGGATCACTGGTTGCAGGGCACAGTCAAACCTGAAGTAAGGTCAATGTGTGGCTCTTGGTAACTTCCTCTGACAATGAACAACAAGGTCCATCTTGATTCCCCTGCAGGCCCGTGGAGACAAAGAACACCTGCCCATGATGGAGCGAATCCTGGGGCCTTTGCCAAGACACATGATCAAGACCAGCAGGTAATTCCATTTCTCTGTACCTGGACTGGTAAGAGTTTAATGGAAATCCTTTCAGATTTGGTGTAATGGCAAATTAAAAACACAAGTTTCATCCATTCACATTCACCCTTTTGCTCTATTTCACAAGCTGGCCACTCTTGTGGAATCTTCCCAGCTCAGTTCCCGAGGTGTGGACCAACAGGCTGATAAACCACCCCTAGTGCAGGGACCAAACAGCACCTTTGAGTATCACACCCTGGTCTGTTTGGTTTCTGAAACGCAGGTGTTTCCACCAGGGCCAGCTGGATTGGGACGAACACAGCTCTGCTGGGAGACACCTCTCTGGAGCTGTAAGGCCCTGAAGGTCAGAGGAAGAGGGAAAAGGCTGGTGGGGAGAGACCTTTACGTGCAGCCACACCATTCCCAAAACATCTTCTGTTCTGTTCTTCACAGAGGCATTCCTGACCAGCAGTGATGCTGAGCATGAGAACCTGTTTGACCTGATGGAAAAGATGCTCCAGCCCGACCTGGCAGAGCACGTCACCCTGGAAGAGGCCCTGAAACATCCTTTCTTCTTCCCACTGAGATGGGAAAAACTGGCGCTGCCTCCTCCAGCAGCTGGCACAGGTGTCAGCCCCCCAGAGAAGTGTAGGAAGTGTTAAGTGTTTGTTGGATAGAGTTCCTCTGTAAATGCCCCCTTTTGTGTTGTGACTGTTTGTTCAGTGCAGCTGTTGGAATAAAACTGAAGCCAGAAGAAGATTCTGATGAACTTGGTTGTGTTTCTCTGTAGGTGAAGATCTCAGCAGAGTGGCCCTCTGAGCAGGGCAGGGGTGTCCCAGGACTCTGTCCTCCTGCTGAGTGGTCTCCACAGTTGGAATCCCAACACCTGTAACACACAAAGCATTGCCCTGTCACGATGAGCTGAATGACTGGATCACTGCTCACCCCCCTACACCTCCAGCTGCTCCACTGCTCTGGGTCTTGGGAATCAGTAGCTTAGGTGTGAACACTTAAATACTCTGACCCCACTGCTGACAGGACTAGCCACACATCTTGTTGACAGATGGGTAAGTTAACACTGGATCGTTCCAGTCTTCCCAGACAACTGGCATAAGCTGGCACAGAGAGCAACTTCTCAAGTCTGATTCTTACACCCTTGGCCACATGTTAGATCCCTCTGTCCCTCCAAAAAGAGGCTCAGCTACCTGCTATCAATGCCTTGGGAGCAGCAGGGTGGAAGCCTGGAAGCACGGATCAGTTCTTTCCCAAGACAGAGCCACCAAGATCATTGCTACCACAGACTTGCTTGGAAGCCAAACTATGGTTAAAGGCTTAAAAAGGGACAAACCCCCAGGATGCTGGGATGTCATCTGCCAGGCAGACTAAACCCAGCTCTCTCACTGCAACCGTTTCTCAAGGAACTTTAACGTTAAAACAGGTGTGGGAAGTCAGCAGGTTTTTTCCTGGTCACTACTGCAGCACGTGCAGCATCCCTACTGGTGTCCCTTGGGGCTGGAACAAAACTGCCAACAGAAGCTGTAAGAGCTGTCCCCTCTTCCTCTTTTAGTTTAAGAAACCACCACCCAAATCCTAAATCACTCACTGCACCTCCTCTGTCACCAGCTCCCCTTGGGGCAGTAACTTGCACCCCCACAGACACACACCTGCCCCCCACACTGTGGGGTT